CCTAATATAGCCATTCCTTCATGCTCATTTCCCTCAAACTCTTTATTTCTTCCTCTACCATATGTCAGGGGAATTTGGGCATTTCCATGTTGCTGAGAGTTGGGAGTCAACGAAAGATGAGAGAGCTGTCACACCATGATGCAAGTCTGATCCTGTGTGGAGGAGAGGGGGAAAAAGATTGGGTGGAACTATGCCAGATAGTCACTCAAAGTCAAGCAAAAGTTGGCCATTATAAGCATCCTTTGTCTCCCAGGAGAAGGCCTGCCCTCCTGTCCTTGTTATACTCAGTCATCAGCTGGGAGCAACCCATGGAAGCATGGCCTTCATACAAACATGCAATGGAAGAGTGAGGCAGCTGGGGTCCTTTGTGAATTAAGCTCCAAGTTGAGGTCTTTGAAGTGCATTCTCACAATTGCCAGAGTGTCCTTTATAGCAAAAAGAAATTTTTTTCTAGTCCAAGCTCCCGCCTAGGATTACATGGTGACTTTGTCTTGTCTTTTTAGTGTTTTTCAATCTAGAACAGTCTTTCAATTTGAGTTTGGATTTGTTTAATGTTTTCTTTTCTTTTTCCTTTGAGACAGGGTTTTGCTATATTGCCCAGGCTGGTCTTGAACTCCTGGCCTCAAGCAATCCTCCTGCCTCAAACTCCCGTGTAGCTGGGACTACAGGTGGGCATCATTGAACCCTCTAATGTTTCCTTATAGTTACATTCTCATTGTGCTGTTTTGTTTTGTTTTATTGGGTCAGGAATACATAAGAAATAAAAATTGTTCTTTTTAGTGGCAGGCAATTTAATTTTTCCTGTTACTAATGATGTTAACCTTGATAACTTGGTTAAGGTGATATATTCCAGGATTCTCTGGAAAATTAGTGTTTTTTCCTTTGTAATAAATAAAGCATCTTGTGGGGATATGCTTTGAGACTCTGTAACTACTCTCAGTGTGCTAAAGATCTGAGGGGATACATAGAGAAAATTCTGAGTCACGCTTTCATTTCCTGTAGCTTAAAAAACAAATTAAACATTGGACTGGACTGAAATTAAGCTTGGACTTAACTGAGCTCCTTCAGGAAAAGCTTAATTACTTACTGAGACAGGAAAATCATCAGGACACTCTTGGATCTCAATGTGGGTACTGAGAGTGCCAGAGAACCAAGATTCTCCCTCCCACTCTCTCTGATGCGTGTGATTCATATAAACATTGATAAAGGATGTCTCATCCCTCCTTCAAGTAAACTTGTTCTGACAAAATTTCACCACACTTTGTCAAATGGCAAACATTGTTCCTAAGAAACATCACACACGTGTTTATGCAAACTTTATTTTTTAAACTTTTTATCAAGAAAAGAAAAAAAGTGGAAAATACGTTTTTGCCTGAAAAGTGAATGTTATGAACAAGTTGCTTGGGTTTGAAAGACAGTCTGTGGAAACACAGATAAGGCTCTATGCTAAGATGGCTTGCTGCTATAATCCTCAGTCCCCTAGTAAAAGTGTCTGCAAAAAAACTTGGCCAGCCACAATGCCATTGAGCGTTGACCGCCATAATCAATCTCGCTGTGACTCTCATGGAGAATGTTGGAGCAAGTTTTCTGTAGTGAGGAATCTGTAGACCATGGCACGCAGCCTCCAGTCTCACTGTGCAGACTAGGGGCAGTGACAGAGGTCTTTGACACACAGCTGACGTAGGCAGTGATACTCCCTACACTAATACAGTGATTCTTTCTGTGAGAGAATGACTGCCCTTAATAAGATAGCATGCCCCTTTAACCTACCACCTCTCTTCTCCTATTTAGTTTGTTGAAGCAAAAACAGTGTAAATACTGCATTAAGCAAGTGTGTATGTGTGTGTGTGTATGAGAGAGAGAGAGAGAGAATGAGCAGTTATGGCTCTTGGCATTTGTTACTGGACAAGGCAAACCTAAAGATTTTACTTTTAAACTTGAATTAATACTCAGAATAAGTCACATCTGCTCTCACTTCCCTCCCACTCCACACAAACAAACATGCAAACCACTGGAAAGGCGACATTTTATCAAAGGCATTTGGCATCTTTCCTCTCTCATGACCCTCTAGAAGCTTGAGAATTTGGGAGAGGAGGGCTGGAAGCAGAAATGGAAAAGAAGTGCTGGAACAATTATGACCTGAAAGCCAGTGGAACCGAGGTCTCCTGCAGGAACTTTTGGGGAGGCCTGGATACTTTGGAGACCAATGGGTATGGATGGAAAGAAGAGCAGAAATGATTCAACTCATACAGCCGTGAAAAAGCAATGATCTAAATACATGAACAAATCTTTAAAGCAAAATGTTAAAGTGTGGGAGCAAGTTCTACAGAACACATACCACATGATACTTTTTTTTCTTTTTTTTTTTTTTTTAAGAGACAGAGTCTCACTCTATTGCCTGTGCAGTGGCACAATCAGAGCTCACAGCATCCTTCAGCTCCTGGGCTCAAGCCATCTTCCCGCTTCAGCCTCCTGAGTAGCTGGGACTTTATAGGCAGGCACCACCACACCCAGCTAATTTAAAACAACTTTTTTGGCTGGGTGCTGTGGCTCACACCTATAATCCCAGCATTTTGGGAAGCTGAGGCAGGCAGATCACGAGGTCAAGAGTTTGTAGACCAGCATGGCCAATATGGTGAAATCACATCTCTACTAAAAATACAAAAATTAGCTGGGCGTGGTGGCACACACCTGTAGTCCCAGTTACTTGGGAGGCTGAGGCAGGAGAATCACTTGAACCCTGGAGGCTGACGTTGCAGCAAACCGAGACTGCGCCACTGCACTCCAGCCTGAGTGACAGAGCGAGACTCTGTCTCAAACAAACAAACAATTTTTTTTTTGTAGAGATAGAGTCTTGCTATGTTGCCCAGGCTGGTCTCAAACTCTGGGCCTCAAGCCATCTTCCCTCTCTGCCTCCCAAAGTGCTGGAATTACAGTCGTAAGTAACTGCATCTGGCCAACATGATGCCATTTACATGCAGTTTAAATGCATATAAATATGTTGAAACAGTGTCATGTGTTGATGAGGGACATATACGCATGTACTAAAAGTATAAACAATTGCATGGGAATTAGTAACTTCAAATTCATAAAATTGTACTGGTTATCAGGTGAGTAGGGGATAAGTGGAAAGAGGGAATGAGACCAGCTGGGTACACAAATATTGCTAATGTTATTGCTTAAACTGTGTGGTGAATACACGGGTGTTCAATTTACTATTATTTTGTACTTTCCGTATACTTTAGCTATTTGACAATACGTTTAAAAATCGAAAAGTTATCCCATAATCCCAGGCTCCAGAGGTGACCATAGGTGGTGTTTTCCAGACTGTTCCGTCTGCCTTGATTTTCTGCTAACTGGCCACCATCCTTGTCTCCTCGCGCTCCCGGTGGCTGCAGAACCCCTGCTCTGAGGGACTGCCAATTCCCAGGAAGTGCAAGACAACTGGAGCCTCTTCTTCTCTGGGCAGGGATTTAAATGTTCTTGGGTAGCCTCGCCAGAGACCTCTGTGGCCCTGCAGTGACTTTCTTTCCAGCCACTTTCCCATGAGCTCAAAGCTTTGGATTCTGTCACTTGCAAAGGGTCAGGCCTGATCTCTTGCCCGTT